CCCAGACAAAGATTGCGAGCTGAAAAGCAACACATTCACAGATCCCTGGCACATCTTGTAAAGGAAGGATGGTAAAGGTAATGATGGGGGACTGTATGGAAGCTGCCATGGGCTGTACTCCAATGGGGTGTTAGAATATACTACAAACTCCACGTCTCATTCTCAGTTAATCTCACATGAATACTATTAAGTCATTTCTCCCGGCTTGCCACTTACATACCAACAATACAAAAATAAATAAGAAAACTTATCAATAGGAAAATATAAGACTGACAACTGGAATCACTGAGGATTTCCTGATTTCAAAATGTATGAAAGCTGAATTGAGAAATATCATTGGAAGCCAAAACGTGGATTTTTTTTTTTTTCCTGAAGAAAAAGAAACTAAGGAATGGGGCCACACTCAAAGAAGAGAGGGAAATAGGAAGTTCTTTCTTCATTCCAGGTAAAGACCAGAAAACTGTATACTGACCTTCAAGGGTCAAAGATCTGTTCTCCATCTATCAGTCCTTATCAATACTGCCCCTTCTTTACTATTTCAAAACTTCAGGTCAGAGAATATAGCAAATTTGGTGGGGTGGAATGGGAGGAGGGAGCAGGGAGAATTGGCAAATGCCATTGGACCCTAAGACATAAATATCCCAAAGAGAAAAATGCTCAAATCCTAAAGAATATCAGAGGCTTGAGGTCATGAGATAAATTTTCAGAATAAGATCTTGGAGCACTTTTATACAGTGAAATCCTACAGTGAGATGAAGCAATGTGCCTGGGCTCCCTGTCAGTCCAGAAAGAGAAAGGTTAAAAATAAAAGTAATTTTTATCAAACAAATGCAAACAAAAGGAAATCAGGGATGGAAATTTTAATCCTAGATGAAGTAGAATACAAAGACAAAAGCATTTCAAGGGGCAAAAGGATTGGCAATAGGTTTGATCCTAATAAAGACGAAACAGTCACGGGCAGTTAGACACCTAATTATTTCACATCAAAGTATAAAAAGCCAGTACTGCTTAAAATACAATAAAAAAAGTGAAAGCAGCACACTTGTTTGGAAGGTTACAGTACATTTCCAACCGTTTGTTGGGCAGGTAAAAAGAAAAATCAATAGGAGGGAAAGTGCAACTGCTGAAATAAAATGCACAGTCAAAAGCTTCAACCACTGTCATGAGACCACACCCTGGGAAAGGAGATAATGTTTTTCAGAAAAGTCAACACAGGATCTGATGGATACATCATAAATTAGGGTCAGAGAAGTTACAATCAATGTTTCCACTGGGTTCATGTGACGGGAAGAACAATTCTGTCGTAGCAGATACCACATGCCCATCAGCGATTCTCTCCTGTTAGTGAATTCTACTGGACTTGATCTTGTGAATTTCCAAAGTAGATAATCTGAGTTCTAATTATCTGCACGCAAATGCACTCCAAGACAAATTAACCTATTAGTGCGTGGGTTATATTTTGAACACATTCTCCCTCTGCATTGATCAAAAATATGATTCCTACTTTCCAAAGTCATCGACACAGTCCTGGATTGGCTGGAGGGTCTACCTCATACTCTAACTCACGGGATGTTGTGGCACATTATGTAGGGCCTTTCTCTAAAGTCGTTAGAGCTGGAAACAGCTAGAAATTAAGAATGACTTGAGATATTATTGAGCACTGATGGCCAAAACCTGGAGCACTAAACTTGGTTTTCATTAAAGGGTTCATTGTCAGTACGCTAGGCCGAAAGGGTCATAAACTGAGTAGCCGTCAGAGCAGAATGGGAAACAAGATGGAAGAGAAAGATCAAAGTCAATGGGTCCAAGCCAAGGATCGTGAATATCACTGGAGAGCCAGACATGGGTTTACTGGCTTCCACTGAGGCTCTGTGGGCCAGTCAGGCTGGTTTCAAGATGCATGTGGTAGGACAGACAGGCCATTGGTCATTATTGGTTAAAAGCAAAATGGCTAACACGTCTCCTACTGCCAGGCCTCTGTCAACTCTCCCTTGCCCATTTTAGTATTAATGGAATTCAAGTCATAAAGGGTAAGAAGGGGAAAGCCAGGAATCCCTCTTACTGTGCCCAGCTTTTGAGGGTTTCATATTATGGTCTATCTATATCTACAATTGTGATTAATACAAAGATGCAGAAAGACTTCTAATTTTTCAGAGTATGGAGGGATACTGATTTTAAATCTGTTCTGAAAGCAAATATATGGAATCTTTTCAGTTTTCTGAGTATCAAAATGTACTATATTGCACTGATTTGCTGGCAGAGAAGGAAAAGCCAATTTTCACGGTTCCTATCAGTCAGATGTGGTTTAGAATCGCTTGTGCATTCCAGATATACTCTACACATACTGGAGAGTCATATCTTGTTTCTGCTGGTTTGCATGCATGCATAGGAAAGTTGACTTTTCCCTAGTGCCAAGTGAAAAGAAATGAGAACCAGCAGCAATGCAGCAATAATCTAAGTTAATCACCTTCTTTATCAAAACGTCATAACTTCGAGAGTGGTCTATAGAGGCTATGACTTTTACTTTTCTGGCTTGCTTGTTCAGTTCTCTTCCATGGAGCATTGAGAGATAAAGTCTGTAACTGTCACTCAACGCAATTTCTGATCCCTACTATGTGCCAGGCCTTCTGCTAGGTACCAAGAGATATTGAGCAGAATCCCCACTGCAGACTGCTATTTATTTACTTGCTGTTTGTTAATGGGAACAAACAGCAAGTAAATAAATAGTTACCACCCAGTGTGATCGCTGCTTTTGTTGTGTGTGGATTGTGTCCGAGATCCTCTGGAGGCAGGGAGGGAGTCTGCCAAAACTTCACCAAAGAAGGTGAATCCTGATGGTGAAGCATGTGTTGAAGTGGAGAGAGACTGGAAGGCATTCAAGAAAGTAGGAACACTATGTGCAAAGACATGAAGCTCATCAAGAACACATGTTTCAGGGACCTGAAAAAATCCTGTATGGCTTGAGGCCAGAGGTAGCGCCAATGGAGAAATAATTTGAAAACACATAAGAGGCAATAATTCTAGTAAACTATGTTATTTTAATAGTCTACATTCTTGTGTTAATATGTGATGTTTGTGTACTAAGAAGACAGGAGTTGCAGATAAACTAGCTAATATTCCAGTGTGCATTACCCTTACTGTTTCTCCCTCCCCAGTACTTGCAATAATACCTGGCACAAAGTTTGCACTTAACAAATGTAAACTACTTTTACTGCATGGGGGAGACAGCCTCTAAGGTGCCCCTAATAATCCATGCCCTGATGCAAATTCCTCCCCTTGAGCATGAGCTGGACTTATTGACACATTATTAAGGAATAGATAATATCAGACATAAAGGTATTCACTTCCAACATCTTATATAATAAAAGTCTAATATGCAAATCGACTGAATAGAGGAACAACTGGTGGGACTACCGGTCACTATGATGCACACTAATCACCAAGGGATAGACGCTCAATGCAGGAGGTGTCCCCAGCCCATAGGCCCCAGGCCAGCCAAGGTGGGTACCAGGGGGGGCCCCTCCTCCACTCCCACGCCCCATCACACAGAGGGAGGTAAATGGCAGCAGGGCCAACAAGTGGGTGGCACCAAGCTGGCCAATGCAGGAGCCAGTGGGGACTCCCCAATCACCCCACCGGTCACCCCAAAGATCAGCCCTGATCTCCAGTCAGGCCTAGGGAACCTACCTATGCATGAATTTCATGCACCAGGCCTCTAGTGATATTACAAAAAGACTGTGGCATACTTCTGGACAGTTGCATGTAGTACTCAGATGCTCTTGCTCTCTTTGTCACTTGGATCATTATTTTCCATGTCATAAGGACACTCAGGCAGATTATGGAGGTGCCCACACAGCAAGGAGAGGAGCAACACCTTCATAAGCATGCCCACTGTCAGCACCTGGGTGAGTAAGCTTGGATGCCGATCTCCTGGGGTCTGCCAACAGCCACAGGAGTGAGCTCAGATGTGAATTCTTCAGATCTACTCAAGCCTTGAGATTATTGCAGCCTTGGCCAATAGCTGGACTGAAAGCTCATAAGAGAGTCTGAGCCAGAGGCACTCAGCTGATGTGTATTGAGATTCCTCACCCCACACAAATTATGATAAACCACTACATTTTTATATAACTAAGATATTATATTAGTGACACCTACTCTTATTCCATAACTATGGTTGGTTTTCTTATATACCAAGTTGGATATGGTGGTATAAGACTTTCTTTTTGGTGATGAAGCATGGCCTGGAAACCAAGCTTTTGTGACTAGGATCCCAACTGCCTAAGGGACCACACTCCTTGAGGGACTGAACCTGTTACCTAGTGTCCCACCCCAACTGATCAGACCATTTATAGAATGAGTCCAGCCAAGCTACAGCAAAGATTACTGTGTTTGGTGTACTCCCCATCAGGGCCAACCTGGGCACATCAACACTACGTATTAGAGTCCCTCCACTACTGTCAGCTGAAGTCCAAGAAAAGTCTATCTAGATGATGACAATCACAGATGTCCACAAAAAGACACATGTAGCTAACATATTCTTGCTTTTCATATGTAACTCTACTTGATTATAACACACACCTTGGAAATTAGCTGTTAACCTTGCTATATATACTGTTCAGGTGGGAGCAAGTGAGAAAGCATAGATTGCTTAGGGAACACTGGGTTTATGGCCACGAATTTTTGGCAGTTTATATAACAAGGTTAATTTAAAGATATTGGTTTTATACATAAAAAAGATTTTAAGACCTTATAAAGATGTTAAATAGTTACATAAAATATTATGCTCAGTAAAGAAATAAAAAAAACAAAATATAAAACCTAAATGGGCCTTCTACCAATGGTTCTTTGCTTACTTATGTCTTTTTAGCAGTTTTTAGCCTCTTTTTCTAGTTAGTGATTAAGCACCCACTGCATAACACAATGCTATGTATGGAGCTGATAACATCTCATTACAGCCAAATGGAAAAGAAAGGAAGAAAGGAAGGAAGAGGACTTCGTACCTCTGTCCCTGATAATTTTGCCCCTCATGCTCTGGTACACAGTCATTAGGAAGTGAAGGATTCAGGTGGGAGGCTGTCCTGAGAACCACGGCTGAGATGCCGATGAATGGGGATGAGAAATTCAGCAGCATGGAGGCAGTAAGGTGGGAGAGGACATTCGGGTGAAGGGTCACATTGACAACCAGTGGGTTATGTCGGCATGACAGTTCATAGATTCCTGGAGAGACATAAGGACATGAATCATATATTAAGCCATTCAGGTAGCTCAGCAATTTTTAACCAGTGTGTTGCAAGAATTTTTAAAGCATGCAGTATCTGATTATTTAGTCAGAGGCACAGATCTCTTGTCCCTCAGATTGTCAAATGAAAAAAAAAAATGACAACATCCAACCCAATAGTCATCAGTGTGGATGAATCAAAATTAAACCTTTTTTTTGTCATATCAGCAAAAAACATTTTATGTGTGTGTGTGTGTGTGTGTGTGTGTGTGTGTGCGCGCGCGCCATGAGATGAAAAAGGTTGAAAATCACTGATATAGCATATCTAGATTTATTTTAACCTCTTAATAGCTGTGTAACTTGTGCAACGTCCCAAAAATATCAGGAACAGATAAGGAGCTGACTCCTGGTTGACAAGACTGTCCTCTAGAAACTCTATTGTCAGACTCACCAAGAGAGTAGTTGTTTCCACTGATATCAGTCAGGTGGATGGTCACTGTGGGCCGCTGATGTTTCCCAGATACCAGGCCATCAGACGTCAAGAAAATAAAAATTGTTGTAGCCACTCCTGGTCTATTAAAACACACCTAGGCATAAGCACAGACATGTGTAAGCCATTATCTCCATTGGGCTATCAAGACACATTAAGTAAGAGCTCCCTTCTTCCTTACAAATGAGAAGAATGTGAAGTAGGAACACAAAGATGTCCAAGGTCACAGCAAAAGTTAAATAAAATTAGATGGAAAGAAGATAACTTTCAGCTACTGAGCTTCCCATCTTTTTCTGGGACTTCTGGCCTCAACTGTTTCTTTTTTGCTTCAACCAGTCTTTCTTTAAATGCCTCAGAAAGATCACTAAAAAGACACAATAAGGCACCACAGGGCCAGCCAATACCTCCTTGTCTTCACAGGGAAAGCAGTGGACAAAGATGGTGACTGAGCTAATGTTTTACTCTGAACCGGCCCAGGTAATTATTCTTCCCCACCTCTCCATTTTTCCCTAACATTTTTATCAGAACCTCCCACTTAGCATATGAACTATGACATGGGCAAGAGGTTATTTCAGTGTCTTGCGTGTGAGATTAGAAGCTGCCAAACTGTTTATTCTTATGTGGTTCTCCTGGTGCCCCAAGGATGTATGTCCTATCCTTGGTTAAAAAATAAGCCAACACTGAGGCACAGAAAAACCAGGTTATTTATAAAGAATATGCCTCCATGGTTAGGCTGATTAATAATCAAACAGTCTTACAGAGTGAACTATGGAAGTCTTATCCCTGGAAATCCTTTATTATGAAAGAAAACAGCATAGAATTAGGGACGACCCAAAGAGCTACTTTTTTTACACTGAAATTATTTAAAGTGGTAATTCTAGTTTTATTTCCTATAGCTCAATATTATTATTTTTTGTCCTGATTTTTATAGGGGACCTTTTATTTTTCCATAATGGACTTTATTTATTTACTCTTTGGATTGCATACATATTCAAGATATTTCTTTACTGATTGCAGAATGATTTTAGTTTATAGAAGGGCAATTAAATATTCTTTTACATAGGAAATAAAGTAGGGAGATACTAGAAAACCACAGGTCAATTTGATTCTCCTTTTTCTTCTTTTTTACTATTGAATTTATTGTGTTGACAATGGATAATAAAATTACATAGATTTCAGTGGTACAATATTATAGAACGTCATCTGTATAGTAATTTCTGTTGAGAAGGAATTTTCACCTTCCCTGATGTTATCTGTGAGTGACACTGTTAAAACCTGTGTACATTTCTATTTTTCTTTTTCAGGTTCTGAGGGCGATTAAGCCCAGGAAAACTGTCCTTGAAGTAAAAGTGAGGAATGGTAGGACCTCCTCTCAAAAGTAAAACATGTTTTCCATTTTCACAAGAATTCTTCCTTGGCCACAGACTAAATTTTCCCAAATTTTGGTGGTAAGTTTAGAGTGTTCATTTGCACTGCTGGCTTAATTAGGGGATTTTATGATTTGCAGTAGTCGATGGAGCACAAGTCTCCCTTCTTCCTCTCCTTTGAGGGAAAGACCAGCTACACTCTCTTTTTATAGTGTCTTGCCCCCCTTTTTCGTTTCCCCTCTTTGAAGTAATAAATATTGCTTTACAACTTAAGAAATATCCAGACCCATAGATTATGGCTTGCAATGAGGTCCTTTGTCCCTAGCTGGATGAGGACTAGACATGAAACACACAGTAAGGTAACCAACAGCCTTGCCTCGTGCAAAGTCCCCGACTCCAGCAGCAAAGGAGGACATCAAAGTTGCCTGAAAAGGCCCACAACCTCTTCCTTTTCACACACCACAAAAGAGACCGAGTGCTGGACGAAAGTTCTGGGTTGTTTCCTGAACCAGGAACAGACAGAGTCTAAATAAGGATCTAGTGGCTTTACCCCAAATAGCTTCAGACTTGAAGAGTGGGGTGGGCTTCAACAAGGAACAGGAAGCCCAGTTTCCCCACCTTCAGTCGGGGTCCCACACAGACACCACCCACATGAAACTAATTAGTAGGAGTAGGTCTGATGGTGTGGATATCTCTGTCCTGAAGGCCTGTTCCCCAAACCTCCAACTCAGTTTACATCTTCCAGAAGCGTGTCCTAAGGGTCTTTGAATACCAATTAGTTTGAACCCTGGAGCCAGCTCCTAGTGGCAGTGTCCCTCTCTGAACCTCAATTTGTGGAATGTGCCTATGCCAGAATTTCCAGGCCCTGGCTCTAGCAGAGAAACCATAGGTGAGACTTACAAAGGAGACAGAGGCAGAGGAAGGCAGGGATAAACAAAGCAAAGACGAGGATCTGATAAAAATATATAAGATGCCCACTCTTGGGTATTTCTTCTCAGAGCAATACAGAAGGGGGAACTAAATTCTATTCTCATCTAAACACCAAATAGGCCCCATAACAGGAGCAAGGAAAGTACAAACTTTCTTATACAGCCCTTGGATCCTCAAAATCAGAGGTTAGTTTGAATCTGCTACACATGTGCTTAATCAATCTAAGTGGGATAAAATGGACCAACTATGATCACCATTCTGGAGAGAGGGCTGGCCAGGCAGAACCCTGGGTCCCTCTTAACTCTCTGGGTAAATCTGAGCAACCCAGCATCTCTCCTCTAAGCCTAAGGTCCCTCTTCCCCACACCTGAGAAACAGACATACAACCAATCTCATGAGGCTACTATGAGGATGAGATGATATTATCTGAAAACACATAGAACAATGCTTATCATCTAGTAAGGGCTCAATGTTCAATAATTCTTATTTCAAAAAAATATTTTTATTTTGTTTATACTTCAGGAAGACAAGGATAAAAAATAAAAATTTTAAATGAAACATACATCCATACATTTTGGTATCTAGAAAATTGTGATTTTCTGAACTGTATAGATTATAGAAATGTGAGTTGATACTCTAGGTTCTACTTTCATAGAAACTGGCAATATTGGAGGCTCTTGGTTTGGAATATATCTCTACAAGTGGAATTTATGAAAAATACATTATATATACATATATATAACTCTTTTATGAGACTTTTCAGGAAATTCAGTTCAATATACTTTTATTAAAAACGTATTTTTTCCTGGCCTGTGTGCTTCAGTGGTTGAGTATCGACCTATGAACCAGGAGGTCATGGTTCAATTCTAGGTTGGGGCACATGCGCAGGTTGCAGGCTCCATCTCCAGTAGTGGGCATGCAGGAGGCAGCTGATTAGTGATACTCTCTTATTATTGATGTTTCTATCTCTCTCTCCCTCTCCCTTTCTCTCTGAAATATATATCACACTTGTATTTTACATATAAGCTTCTAAAATTTTCAGTATAATTAGAATATTAAATGTATATTCCTTATTCAAACATAGAATATTTTTAAAGTTCTCTTTCCATAGCCATGTCACAGCTGTTTTAATAAATATAATAGACCAAACTTTTACTTCATATAAAATAATGAATTTTGTGTCCATAGATATGAAAAATAGTGACTGAAACAAAAAACTTGGCCAAATGAAGCTTTTACTAGTTCTACCCCCATGCCACCTTTGGCATTACAAGTATGACATCCCTCTAATTGCCACACAAAATGCATTGTCTGAACAGCTGGCCCCACCCCCTTCAGGACAAAATACCTCAGATGCACCTTCAGGGGGATTACTCAGATCTGAAATGAGGATCTGGCATGCCCCAAGGCTGGGGGGGACAGCTAAGATGCTAAGAAGGCAAGAGAATTGTGGCTTTATCTATAAGATTTTATAATTTGTCTTAACAAGGAGACTAAATTCATGTCATATATGGCCAACACAAAATGAATTTGAGCATGGCTCTTATGAAGAAGAAAAACTAGGTGGACATCAGAAAGGTGAGATCTTTTAGAAAAATGAATGATTACTGGGACTGAGAAATGTTCTCAAAATAGAGGGATTGCCAATGAAATTAGCTCAGTGAATCCATTGCAAAATACTTTGAAACAGAGAAAACATAAATTGGATGGATGGATGGGTGGATGGATGAACGAACGGAAGGACGGACAGTTATGGACAGAAGTAGAAAACCAGTTCCACACCCTCAGTTGTTTTTTTCATCCAAAGCTTGCTTGTTCACCACCAGATCTAACTTCTGGCCACTCATGAGGGAAAAGCTGAAAGAATGTTTCCCTAGCACAGAACTGTTTGGGCTTAAGAAATCCCTCTTCAATGTGTCTGCTCAGTAGAAACACTTAATATACCCCCAAGCCAAGCATTTCAACTTCCAGGTCATCCTTTGTGGTGGTCACTGGAGAGTAGACCCTCAAAATATACCACAAACTTGAAAAGAATCTTCTTTGAGGTTTTAAGATACTTTTGGTTGGTTACAGGGTTATTTTTTTCCTGTGCCTTTCAATCTTCATTCATCTATGGCACTTCCTGAGCCCAGAGAGGAGGAGGAGGTCCTTGAGTAGGATGAGATGGGCAGACATTCAATATGGTTGTGTCGCACTTGACAGTTTGCCAAGTGTGATCCCATGCTGTGCTGGAGCCTCCATCAAGCTTGTTGGGTTTCTACTCCTATTTAAGATTTTTGTTCTGTAATATCCCCAGGATACAAAGGTTATCCTATAGAAGTGGGAAAAGCAGGATTCTGGTAGCTTAAGTGACTTCCTCTAGCTAGATGCTAGAGAGGCAGGAATTTAGGTTTCCAACTTTGTTCTGTATTCTTTTGACTGCCCGATGGTTGTTAATTTGGAGTACGCAGGAAATCACAGATTCCTTAGGACATTTGTGCCCCTTCTACCTCCCAAAATGAAGTCATACAAACACATAGGCCTAAAAGTTTCATACAATTTCAGGGAGCTAAGAGAACCCTTTAAAAGCCATTAGCAGTCCAACTGGGAGGAAGGTTGTCAAAAGTAATTAAGAATGCTTGCACTATATGCCTTTTTGTAGATGAATAATTATCAAATATTGGAAATTTTATATGGATGTCCTAATAACACAGTCTGTGCAGGTTTCAGAAATTTGACAAGAGAGAAATTAACTCTCAAAGTTTTATGGAAGTTAGCTAAAGTCTAAATTTAACAGATAAAAGAAAGGTGTGAGGCAACTA